TTCCTATGTTACTCCGTTCTTTGCCTTGCTATTTTATAATTACAATATTTGCATAATGCATGGTTTAATGTGCCTATCCTAGAGTTCCGCATCACAAATGCTTTGTGTGCACCATTGATAATGTGATGCCTCATGGTTGTGAATGACAATGAGGGACGATAAAGCACAGAAGGAAAAAGTTAAATAGCCATTTTAATGGTTATAATTGACTGAATCCAATTCATGTGCCTACGTATGGATTGGATTTTAGATTTCAATTTACCAGTACATGGATTTGGATTATTTGAGGTGAGACGTGCAGAATGTTCATACCTACCTTCAAGGGCGGAGAATTGGGTATTAGTATATATTAGGTCCGAGTGGACAATTGTGACGCTGTTGATACAAATATGTAACATCAAAAATTTTAGGTTTTAGGTTAGGTTAGGTTGTAGGTTTGTAGGTTTTAGGTTTTAAGTTTTAAGTTGTAGGTTTGTAGGTTAGGTTAGGTTAGGTTGTAGGTTTGTAGGTTGTAGGTTGGTAGGTTGTAGGTAAATAGGTAAGGTTAGGTCAGGTTTGATTATGTTTTTCTTTGATTTCCAGGACATATAAGTATCATTTTTGGATTCAGGATGTCAAATAATGTAAGAATATGAAAACTTTATCTTTTAACAGTCACTCGGACTTAATGTATACTTTTACCAAGAATTGTTGGGGGTGCATTTCTTGTTTGAATGTATAATTTTCTGCATTCAGGATGGTTATCGGGATAACAAAGGCCACTTGGCCTGGTGGACCTATTCTCACCGAGCTCTTAGCTGGTTGGACTAGTGTGGCTCTAAGGGATAGGGAGTGTTGTACATGACCGTCTTCCAGTGGCGGTCTAGTCGGGCCTTGAACTGGTTGAGGGTTTCGGCACACACATGGTCTCAGTCTGGGAGTGTGATCCAGTTGTTGACTACTCACACACTCAGCATGTTCCACTGAACGAGTGTCCGCACCCTGCGTTTCTTGAACTTCCACTTGTGCCCTCTCGTTCTTGTCGAGTCGTGCCTTGTCAGGATCTCAGCAACCAGCACAGGGGCGTAGGAGCCACAGGGGGGGCACGTGCCCCCCCCAACCGCAGAGCCGTGGGGCATTGCCCCCATAACTTCACGGTAAAAAGATGCATTTCGAGACAAAAATGGCATGGCATTGCACCTTGCGATGCGAGCCAGCGTCCCTACGTTCAGTAAAGCACATTTCCGTCTAATGAAGGAGCCTTTTGGGCAGGTAGGACACCTTTTCTCATCACTGGCGCACTAGCAGACCGAATTTTGCCCCCACAGCTGAAAGCAAGTTCCTACGCCCCTGAACCAGCAGGTCGTAGAGCAGGTGTCCTGACCTAGAGCAGGTTTATTAGTTATTACTCATTGTTTACCTAAAATCCTACTAAGTTAATCTAAATTAGGTACGTACTCCCTTCTCATCTAAAGCAGCTAAAGTAATTTGGTGGGGTACCTAATGAGGAGTTTAGGTGAGCCAAAGAAATATATCCAGTAACAACATTGGCGGATCTAGCTAGTGACTAAGGGAGGGGCCAAAACGGGCCAAAGTAGGGGCCTTATACATGTAGCAATATACCTAAAGCATTGGGTTCGGTTTGCAAAGGGAGGGGTCAAATCCCACTTTGGCCCCGCCACTGCTGGATTTTGGCCCGTTGCCCCCTGGATCCGCTAGTGAGTAACAATCTATATCTGTAAGAAGCTTGAGTTTGAGGGCTTCAGGTACCTGATTGCAAAATCAGGAACACCCACAGACACAGCCAAAATCCAGACAGCCAACTTTCAATTGGCTTTCTGGCACTGGGAGCAAATGGTCATTTTTTATGCATCCAAGGTCCTGGATGACAAATCAATATTTTGATGCAAAGTGGGGGGGGGGGGGGGGCTTGTCATAGGCATCTTGGTTAAAGGGACCCTCCCACCTTCTAAAATGTTATTAAAACCAGTTAAATTGTGCCCGACTTTATAGATTGGATGCCCAGGAACATGGTTCTGGCATTTATTTTTCATTAAACATCTCAGGCTTCCCATATTCCAAACACAAACTTTCAAATATGTGAGTCACAGCCTAAAATTCTCCCTTCCCCAGGCCACATTACTGTCATAAAGCTGATTCTTTTTAATCTGTAGGCACCACAGCAAAGCTCAGACCAAGTTTTAATTGATTTTCCACGAACAAGCCCATCTAAATCAGAATGACTAAATGAGGTGACGTCACACTAACGGTCGCTCCGTGTTGAAGATAGGACCTTAGCTAAGGTCTTTTTTTGAAGCATCAGATGGAGTTTTCTCCTAAACTATGGAACTGTGGGAGTTCAAGACAATTTTTTCTGCCTTTTTGCCAGATTGTCCTCAACTTGGCTATCCCAACTCAAACCCCATGTTTAGGTGGGAGGTCCCTTTAAGGATCAAAATATTGACTCACTTTTCAGACAGCTTTGTATTTCAGGTAGATGGGTGCCACAGAAGCTTCCTGGTTGACAACTCCAATATTACCATTCAACGCGCAATCGTCCACTCCACACAATTTTCTTGATCCAAACTTTTGGGTCAACTTTGGAGTTTTCGGTTTTTGATTTATCATGTTTTTGTTTTGTTTCACAATTTTTCCCGTTTTTGAGTTACTGATTCTGTGTTTTTTTTTGCTTTCATTTGCCATGGAGTCCTCCGGCTCCATGTTTGACAATGGCTCTGGTAGTTTTTGGAGACCGAAAAATTGAAGAAAAAAAAACAAAATGAAGTGTGTCTTGGAGCTTGTACTTCAAAAAAGTGAGTCACTTTTGATCGTTAACCATGGTACCTATGACAGCCCCGCCCACTTCACGTCAAAATATTGATGCGTCATCCAGGACCTTTTTGATGGGTATTTTTTTTTTTAGCATTGGTGGGTTTTTGATTTTTTTTCATACTTTACTTCTTTGAACTGTGATGTTTGTTTCATTAGTTTCTAGAGTGAACCTCAAACAGGTAGTACCTATTACGCACTATGTATTTACACAATATACATATATTCTCTCGCTCGAGTGCAGTACTTCCATGGCGCTGCACCGGTCATTTTGCCAACGTCGATGGCACTGTCGAGCAGTTCTAGCAATCAATTGTTGATATAAAAATGCTTAACAGCATCATTGACATCGAGTGAATGAGCTTATTAACCCGCGCCCTGTTCCGGGGGAGGGGGTTTGAACACACCTTGCGTTTTTTTCGGATTGCCAGAAAACGGCGGAAACATCCAACTTCCTCTGAGTGTCATCCAATGTCTTCAAAATGCCCAGAAGCATGGTGTTACAGGTCCCTGTCGGTGATTCCGCCGAAACAAATCACCCCTGTCATTTGGAAGATGCTCCTTACGTCATCTGAGGTCACCTGAGGTCATCAGCGGTTTTTCTGCAATAACTTTCGTTTGGGTAGAGATAGAAGCTCCAAACAGCGTCCAGTGTTTTTGTCTCGTCAATGCAGATCGACTGATATGCAACATGACCTATTTGGATCAGGTCATGACCTTGACCTAAGGCCAACTTTTTACTTGACTTTTTAATGTCATATTATATATCATTCGATGTGCCTTGACGAGCTAAGCACAATGGTGTGTGAATCGTTCCTGGATCTTTTCTGGAACAAAAGTTAATTCAGAAAGTCAAAACGGTCATTGTTTTCTTCGGTGACCTCTGGTAACCTCGTTTTGACCTGACCTAAAGATGACTTAAGTACTTTCGTAATGATTTTTAACGAGCTTTTGAAGCTTTTAAAGCTTTTTGAGCTTTTTTTTTTGGCCGGCCGACCGTCAGCTGAAATTTAAATTCATTGTCGAATTTCGTTCACTTTATTACTAGAGGGCCTCACAAATAGACCAAAAGTGATATGTATCGATCCTAAAGAGCCTGGCATCGGAAAGAAAGCGTCCTCAATCGTCAAGGGAACCACGCATAATCCGGCCAAAGGGAGCCTACCATGAATTATCGGGAAAAACTGATACTTTCCGTCATTGTCTGGCAGTATGAGACAACTCCCTTCCCCCTGCCCCCTCACCCCGGTGGCACTCCCACCAACCGGTGCAGTCAATGCAAAAACGTATTTACGGTGCAGCGCCGGCGTCCACCGCCCGCTCGGCAAAAGGCGACTATCACCCGCTCGGCAAAAGGCGACTATCAGCTGACGATCGGCCGGCCGGCCGCCCTTACGGCACCGTTGGGCCGGGCCAGGCGGCATGAAACATGAGGCCATGGTAGTTCTTTCTGGAAGATTGGAACATAAGATACATAGGCGTTGCCAGACTTTTTAGGTTGGGGGGGGGGGAAATAAACCCACCTACCCCCTAAATTAAGTTTCTCCTCGGATTTCGGCCACTTAATTTCGAAAATGTTGGAAAATACAAAAAAAAAAACAATCTGGACAAAACAGGTGTCTTTCTTCACCAGTTTTTGCTCAGAAATCCACTGGTGCCATTTATTTTTCCATTCGACCCCTAGAAGTCCCCAAAATTGCATTTGAAAATCTGACGTCATATTTTAGTATGATTTTGGAGATTAAAACGGGTCATTTGGGGATCAGATATAGAGCTATCGATTTGAAATTTGATGTTTGACACAATAGAGGTGTATAACATATATTCCGATTCCTGAAATTTTTGGATTTTATTGGCATTTTCTTCTTTTGGGGGGGGGGGGACAAAATGAAAAAGTAAAAAATCGGAGGTAGCCATGTTGTAGGGCTAGCAATTCTACATTTACGCTATTTTTCGTTTGCAATTCCATTTCTAAATGTGACTTTGAGAGACTCTCAAACAAATGCCGGATTTCGTCTAAAAATCGAGCAACATGACGTCGGAAATTGGCTTTATCTAAAAAATTGTCAACGAATTAGAAAAAAAAAACAAATATCCATCATGTGCGCAATGGTTCCGTAAGAAAATCAAGTTTCAACTCGATATCTCCAGGCGTTTGGCCATGGCACACAAAAACCTGGGGGGGGGGGCTTCTCAGCCCCCCCCCCGCCAGGAATAGGGTTAACCGCACTGTCTCCTCGAACTGTCTATCTGTCTCCTCGATCCTTATAAATTTATCGTCGTCTCAATCATTGTGGTGAAACAAATGCAGCTGTCGGAGGTATTCTATGTCTACCGTATGTTGGATATGGAACGACACCTAGTATGTACCCTACAGTGCTGAAATGGCCTACATTTTGGCCGAAATTGGGTCTTTCTATCAAAATAGCAAAACACAAACACGCCACTAATAAAATAATTATTCCAAAACCAAGATCCAGTGGTACCGAACAGTTAACTTTGATTTTGAAATCACAAACTTGTTTTCTGACGATACCCTCCCAGTCCGCATCCATCTCCTGCAATCCACAAAGGCTGTCACAAAACTACTTCGTGCATTCTTGCAAAGCGTTTTCCTGTGACAGAAAGGTAAGCTGGCGATCACTGGTTTATATTGGTGAAATGGGTCTTTTTACTCCCACAGCTTGATGAAGCGATGTCGAAGACGTTTGCGGACAGAAGGATCCTGGTGGTGACGAAGAGGCTATCCGTACCCAAGCTGAAGAAGCTCTACCCTGCCCTCTTTCAGGAAATGGAGGTATGTCTCTCGCCCTCTCGCTCTCATTCTCGCTCACTTGGTAGTGGTTGTGCTTATGCTACATCGTGCCACGCTTTGTTTTGTAGTGTTCATGAAATTTATGGTTTTATCATCTCTTAGATGTTGGGAGTGAAACTTCCTACCAGGGTTTTGCTCCACCCACCCATGAGTCGAGTCAAATTTGACTCGACTCTAACTCAAATGAGTCGAGTCGGAGTTGAGTCCAGTGTCAGAAAAGTGATCCCTTTCTATTTTTTTCCGAACTTGGAAGTTTTGTTCCGTCAAAAAGTTCTACTGTAAAGAATGACAAGTTTTATTCTGCGAGTATCAAAGTTGATAATGAATCAAAGTCATATAATGAAACAAAGTATGTAGCATGCTAATTGATAGTTATCCACGGGCTACCCATAAACGTTTGCTATTTTCACTTCCTCGTTTCTTAGATGGTGTCGACTTATTTCATTGGTAACTCTAGATTTTATTTCCATGTCATATAATAAAGACGTATTTATTTGTTGCAGATCTGGGCGGAGCTTGCCCGAATCAGGGGCGGTTGATCGACCAAGGAGAATGAGCTGGAGAGGGCGCGTGAGAACCTTTCCAAGGTGCTCACAAAGTTCCAAGTCTGTGAAACGAATGGTACGTTATTGTGAATTTACGGTTAACAATTTCGTGGATCTCGAGTCAAAAGTGCATTTTAGTGCCAGTGTTCTTCTAGTTCGGCTACTTTCCTCTTCCATCGCCGTACTTCAAATTTGAAGTTTGACTCTAGGCTTATACAAAGACTTGCCCAAGAGGTACCTACATGGTCGTTTGTCCATTTCCCCTTTTTCTCCCGCACCTATTAACGCAGTCAGAGCCCACTGGAAAGACAATCGGACAAAGTTTATTAACGGATCTACGTTAGCCATATTTGGGGTATCTATAAAGATTGGATGGTGGTTGGTGGCGCTTTGGCTCCCTCATTGCATGATAATGTTCTTACCAGTTTTTAGTTTGTGGTAGGATAATGAAAAATATAAACGAAACGTCGGATTGTCTTTTGAAAAAAAAAACGAGCTATTGTGTGTGCAGTTTGTATTTTACGGCATGACAGTGTTGCATTGGTAACTGACATGCGTGTCTATGTGTGTCTGTGTGTTTTAGAAGCTGCGCTGGAGCATCTCCTCATCGAACTTCGCGAGGAAGACGCTCTTTACGCGGCACCGACGGCCGGAGGTCCAATGGTTATATGGCGTGATGCCATCTGGGTCGAGGGAGAGAAGGTAGCTGATTTTGAGATACTGAACAAGATCGACCAGTTCCTCACATGGGATGCTGCGTTCTCGGTGTTCGCTCAAAAGCCGACCAAGAAAAGCACGCGGTGCTCCGCATACCTGGCAACCGTTATGGTTCTCCAAACAGACGTGCTGAAGCCCCCGAAAGGCCTGGAGCGTATCACTCAGTAAGCGTCAAGCTCAGTAGATTCGTGTCGCCTGACTGTCCATCTGAGGCCCGACTGAGTCGGGTAAGACTTACCTTTTTCCGTCTTGCGGAACTTCTTCACTGTCAGTGGGCCGAGATAGTCGTGTGTTGAAAGGTCGTCTCATGTCGACTCTCGCCTCTGGCAGGTCAGCCATCCTGGGTAGCTGAGGGGTGGCTCTGCGGTTGCGGCAGAACGCACACTTCTGTTGACACACTTCTGTTCACACTTCTGTTGACACGAAATGACAACAGATGTGCTGTCATTTCGGTTTGTGTCGTGTTTTTTTTTTTAATAAAGTCGTTCGCCAAAAACAGTTGTTCTCTCAAGGGTGTGCAGTTACACTCATTACGCGGGGAGCCGTGGGACGGGTGTTGGAAACTACCCGCGGGAGAGGTGTTTAAGCGCAGGTGTAACCCACAACGCAGGTGTAGACAGTAGGTGCTTAAATTCGATGCCGGTGTAGACAGTAGGTGTTGATACTCGATGCGGGTGTAAACAGTGGGCGTTGATACTCGATGGGGGTGTAAGCAGTGGGCGTTGATACTCGATGGGGGTGTAAACAGTGGGTGTTAATACTTAATGCGGGTGTAAACATCGAGCGTTGATACTCGATGCGCGTGTAAACATTGGGTGTTGATACCTGATGCAGGTGTTCGATGACGCCTTGATGAAGGGTTAGTTGACACCTGTTCAGATGCTTAAAAATGGAACCTGATCAACGACACCTGTTCCGCGGGTTTACACTCGGGACAGGTGTAAAAATGTTTTCAGTGTGTGCAGAGGGGCTTCCGCGACCAAATCGGGTGGCTCCGTCGACCAGAATCGAAAATTCTGGGAGTTCACGCGGCCATCCATATGAAAATGGGCTTCGTCGCTGAACCAGATTCGGTGAAGGAACTCATTGTCCTGCTCGCAATTTCTCAAAAACCAGCCGCTGTAAAGAAGCCGTGACTGTTTGTCGACTTTCGACAGTGCTTGGTGAACGGAGACCTTATAGGTACGGGAACAGCTGAACGTCGTTTCTGGCCAAACGGTGAGCGGTGGTTTTGCTACAGCCCAGTTCCTGGCCCAGCCGTCTGAGCGACTTTTGTGGGCTCCTCTGGAGAGCTTCTCGTGCCTTTTGGGCGTTTAAAGGCGTCCTCTTGGTTCTTTTTCGGCCACATTTACCCTTTTTTACGTTCTCCACACTACCTCTTGCCAAAAACTTCTCAACTATACTTAAAATGACGGTTCTTGATGGCACTTGGGTCCTCTTTAAGTGTCGGCGTAGCTTACGTTGTGTTGCAACGATTGACTTTGTCTCAAAATAGAAATGTACTATTTTTGTTTTTATGTCTACTATACGGCTGCATGATAGAAAGTGATTGATTTTGGTATGAAATAAAATGGCATTGCACGTGCTATCATCACGTGCAATTTGATTGTTGTGATTTTGTTAGTTGACGCCACTAGAAGCAAAAATAATTCGACTGTTTATTTAGGAACTCCCGGTATTCGGTATGTGTCAGGTCAGCCAAGGTCACAAATGGTAAATTAAATTTTAGGTTTGTATAATGTACCGGTCATGTGGCATGTTTTATGGTTCATTACATGGACTTATAATTCGAAAATAGTATGGTCGTTGCCCGCCCGAAGTCACTTTCGGAGTTGTCGGTTCTTTCAGTTATGGCAGAGTTGCCACAAACTCATGACTAAAGCCTGAAACAGACTTTCCACACTCAGGAAATCGCATGCGCATTGCGCAAGCCTTTTCAAATACATGGAAGCGCGCTCGCATCAATCGCACGCACCTCCCGCATGCAATTTGATGCGAGCAGAATTACAACGCATTTGAATAGGCTCCCGCATGCGATTTCCTGAATGCGGAAAAGACTGTTTCAGCCTTCGTTTTGCCAGCCGCGAACGAATACGGGGTTGGGGGTGGGGGAAGGGTAGGGTCCATTGGACACTCCTTGCCGTTTCGACCCTGATCGAGCTAGAGCTTCGCAGAAAAAACGAGATTGTTGCCTGTGACGAGAGGAAGAAGGGACCTGTTAAAATGTCGTAAAGTGTGGCTGCTATGTGGTTTTCGGGGTGCTGATCACGAACATCATGCTAAATTTGATCACAGGTGTTGTCTTCATGCATTTAGGCCAGGCCGGGGCAGGTCAGGTCAACCAGTAGGGGTCCTGCCGGGTATTTGCAGTAGATGTCAACCGCCTCTGACAGCTTCGTAACATGTCACGAACTTATCACCAAAACTACTCCGTATATGTCCAAATTGTTGCTAAATTCGAATTCAGGTCCAAAAACTAACCTAAAAACAAAAAAAAAAAACTCGAAAAAGTGAGCCGAGATCATCAAAGGTTAGTGACCTCAGACCTGACCTGACCTTCAGGTGACATTGACACCCACCCTAATGCATGGGTGATGGGACCAACATCATATCACATGTTTGAACGCCTGAAACCACGAAAAGACTGCAAACGCGCGGCGAATGCGAGTCGACATACCTACGCCGAATCGCGATTCCGGCCAAACATGGTTTGAAAAGTAGGTCACAGATCAAAGGTCATTCGGGTCAGGGTCATGAAATTTTTAGGGTAGGTGTAAAACTTATTAACGCGAGAGTACTGTAAGTTTTGTCGCGATCGGCCGCTTTTTACGCGAGTTATTCGCAAAAAAACGAGAGGGTTCAAAAACCGAGTTCGGCCCCCCCCGCCCCTATACGGGCGAGGGTTGAGGCATGGCCAGCGCCTGTTGGTGAAACTCCGGGACGCTGTGGATCCGTCTCCCTAGGTGGCCGGGGAGGGGGGAGGGAGGGGGGGGGGGGCGGTACAGACGTGGCCGGCCATCCGATGAGAAAAATACCGCTATGCGGCGTTGCTGTTCCGGTGCTGGGCTTAACGGCGACAATCAGCCGAGCGGCGACGGCGGGGAGATGCGGCACAGGAGGGGCGCTGACGGCGCCTTTGTGACGGCGCGCGGCCGCCCGACGGGCCTGGATTGGGCCGACCGGGGTCTGGGGAGGGAGAGGGGAAACGGGCTGACAGCGGGGGTGCCAAGAAGGGTCGGCTGCACTGGCCGCCGGCGCACAGTGTGGTCGAAGAACAGTTTACCGCGAATTTAATCCCAGCGCCGCTCGAATCCACTGCAAGGGGTTCTCATGGTTACTAAATACTGGGGTTGACTGTTAATTCCAGAAATTCCAGACGGCACGATATAATTTGAATTGGAAAATACACATAGGCACGATAAACGACAGCATACACTACTCCACATAATCGCCTTCAAGCATCACACACCGTTCCAGCCTCGTCTTGACCCACTCCTGGAACGCCGCCAGAAGACTGATCGGCGCTTTCTTTCTCAAACCGATGAAACCACCTACATATCGTCTGTGGGGAGGCTACGTCGCTCCATACACTTAAAAAAATTATGATCTTGGTAGGCCTTTTTCCCTACGACAAACTGAGCACTAATGATCTTGCACTCGGCGCTGGCGCGCGGTTTTGGCCATTGCCAGGTGGTGCGCCACAGGTTCGGGTGGTCTCTTGGGAAAACGACGATAGCTTATAGCAAACAGTAGCTAAGGACATGTGGTCTTCACCATTGGATAGAAAAACATCGGCGCATGAAATGACACCCAAAAAATGTGTGCACGTGCAAAAACGTTTAATTGCTTAAGGCACTTCCATTACTTAATAGTCAACCCTAGTACATTGACACTTGAACATCTGAATTCTTTCGCGATACATTATAAGTGCTTGCTTGCGCATTACGACACATAAACGTCTTTTTGCAGGTGGCAAATGTGAGAAGAGGGTGATAATGGGCGTCTGCTAAATGTTATGCCAAAAAATCCGCCCCAAAGGGTTGTAAAAAACTCTTATTGGGCATCCGAACTCCGAAATATGGAGTCCCTGTAATTGTACACCAAGAACGGGTGTTCACGGACACCATACTGGTCCTCCACAGAAACCACAGGCAAGGACGACCCTTGTCCCTGGAGCACATAGTGCAGGCCGTCATCTGCCGAAAAAAAACTGCTGGTTGTGTTCGAAGAATTCTTCTTGCAAAATCGCAGTTGTAAGCGGTTTTGGTCATTTCTTTGAAAAGCACCCATCAAGACGAAAATGAGCCAAACGCGCTCCAAATTACATTAATTAACTACTTCTCATGGCCTTGGCTTAACACTGTGTGAAATTGAAATGAATTCATCCGGAAATATTATTTGTAATGCAATTTTCGTAGGGTCGTATGGAAACTTTTTCGGAACACCCTGGCGCTAAAATCGTACGTTTTTTTTCTTTTTGACGTGCCATCATTCCGCTTAATACAACCGATTCGATAAAACTATGCCAACTCACTTATTATTGCACTGTTTAAATGTCGTATGAATTTCAGACGGAATTGAATAAAAATTGCAAATTTTATTAAACGTTCTTTGGATTAACTTTTTCGGGACACCCTGTATGAAGTCACTATTACCAAAAACCGTGATTGTCGCAGTGTGTCGCAGTGGCTATTGATGTTAGCTCTGTCAAGTGTATTTACAGCACACCGGATCACATTGGCCACTGGCCAGCAGTCGGTCACACTGGCCGCCACCGGTCGCGCCGCGCGCCACACTGGCCGCCACCGGTCGCGCCGCGCGCCACACTGGCGTTAGGCCATCAGTCCATTGGTCGCGCCCTATCAGATAATATATCGATTAATCCCATGCGCGATATAATTCCCCGTTCACGAATCAAGCAAATATTTGAACGGAATGGCGGAAGGTTATTACTGCGAGATGACAACTTACGAAAGGACGCGGCGCGGCAGCGGCATCCGTCTGCAGCCAGCCCAGCACCACTGCCAGCTCGAGCACAACACAGATCACTGACAAACTCTTCGGCCAAGCACCCTGATATCAGCAGTCTATGTGGGCTGGCCATTCGCCCGAACGGGACACAGCCAGCCAAGAAAACAAATCAGTATGCCAGAAATAGCAGATATGCCTAAAGATACCCAAAGTGCACCCGTAAACGTGCACTAGCCAGTCACCAGGCGAGAGCGGTGTGCAGCGGTCAGGTCAAACGATCAATCATTGACGGACGCATCCAATACTCGCACAGCAGAGCAGCAATACAGCACAGCTAAATGGAGCATAAAACAGAAATAGCCGGAGTCAAACCAAGCATTCTTGCCCATAAAGCGTTGTTAGTTGTTACAGCTCGATATCAAGCTCAAAGAACACCAGAACGTTAATGTTGGCATCATTTGTGCTTTTTAAGCTAGCTATAGTGATAGAAATGACAGCCAATAGGTGCGGCAGCCACTGTCTGGCATTCGCCCATCATAGCACTTCCCAGAGGGAGAAAGGCGAGGGACAGAGGGAAAGACATAGCGCGGGGTGCCGACCCACCAGTCTGCGGCGGCGGGCGGGCTCACGGCGCTGCCGACGGGTGACGCCGCCGGCCCGGCCCGGCCGACTCGGGGCGCGTCGTGGCAGACCGGGCTACCCGCCTCGCCGGACCAGCGGCGCTGCATTCAACGCCACGCATTCAACGCTCTCTCACTCAAAGATCAAATAGCACATCAAAAGTAACAACAACAAGCCGGCAGACATCCGCACACCAATCAGTGAACACCCGTTGATTTCCAGTCGACTGAGAGTTAGGGTTGATTACAGGTCCGTGGATCCGGCGACAGTGCAGCCGTGCGCTCCGGAGTCGAGGCTCAAACAGACTCTTTCGGCATTCAGAAAATCGCATGCGAGAGCCTATTGAACTACATTACAATTCTTCCCGCATCAATCGCATGCGGAAAGTACGTGCGATTGATGCGAGCGTGCTTCCATGCATTTGAATAGGCTCTAGGCTCTCCTCGCATGCGATTTCCTGACTGAGGAAAGAGTCTGTTTCAGGCTTATGACGACTACATTCACATTCCAGAATCCAGAAGCAGACAGCGCTCCGCAACTTCTCCGATATGCTGAGCATTGAATGGTTGCGGCTGCTGGCGCCATTGGCTCCCTGACGAGGGCCGGAGTGCAGTGTCGGGCGCTCGGCGGCTCGGGGATCGCCGCCGACTGACTGACTGCACTGGCCAGAGAAGCCTGCCGGAACCAGACAGCAAAACACTTACAGCGTCTCCCAGAATTCACCGAACACTTATTTTCTGACCAAAAGTCGGTGCGAGCGACTTGAGCGAGTGTCATTTGAGCGAATGTCATTTGAGCGAACCATTTTCAGCGACTGGCAACTTAGCGAATATCAAATTGAGCGATTATCAAATAAAGCGATTATCAATTTAAGCGAAAGCTATGTTTCAGCGACATCTTTTTCGTCGACTAGAGTTTGAGCGACTGTCATTTCAGCGAAACACTTCATCGCCCCGTAACGGTGTATTTTTTCTTTTTTCTTTTGCGAGCGTTCGTACAACGAATATTTCCGGAACTTTTCATGGTTATCCGGAACTGGATGGCGGATGTCACGTTCAAAGTTCAGACATTAAGCTCCAAATTTAATGCCACATTTCTAAAAAAATTACAGCGATTCGATTTCACCCCCCCCCCCCTGCTGTTTGCTAGTAATGATGACCAAACGTTTGTTCAGAGATTCATATTGCTTGTGCTGTTTTTCGCGAAATTCACCCGCTTGAATTTGGATCAGTTCCCCATGTTGTAAAATTTGTTCTTGCCCCAAGCATGAAGCAACGTACGAATTTCCAGATATTTGGGTGAGGTCCCTGAAACATAGACTGGATCCCCCTGTGCCATCCCTCGAGTTTATTATTGGTCCTTGGCATTCCTTCCATCGTCCTATCCCTGACGTTCCACATTTCCAGATCAAAGTTGCTGAATGAGGCCATATATTTTTGTGGTTTCCAAGCTTAAAAGAAAATGTTTAATTTGCTGCGCGCAGCTTGAAGCATGACACATACCAAGCGGGTATTCCAAGGGCAAGAATTCCAGAAAAGTAGCAAATGATTGACTTCCGTCGCGTTCGGTTTCGCTGTAACTGTGTTCGCTCAATTGGTCCCCCATTGACCTCCATATATTCGCTCAATCTGGTTTCGCTGATTCTGGTCCTCGCTTAAGTTGATTATCGCTGTGATTGCATTCGCCGACTTGACAATCGCTGAAAAAGTCAATCGCCTAAATTGATAATCGCTGAAAAGGCTTCGCTCAAATGTCGTTCGCTGAAATGACGCTCGCTCAGGTGTCGCAGAACCACCAAAAGTACGATTGCGCTTGATTCTAATGAGGTACGAGCATCATAATTTTACAAGACATCCCTTAGCTATTGAGCTCGGAGACTGTGTGCTGTTGGTGACCAGTCACTACTCGAGTCAACTATTATCCTGAGTCAGTGAAGAGTAGTCCCTTTTCGTTTTTAACCTCAGCAACCTAAAGGCAATCATGGTGAATCAAGTGCAGTTCTGAAGTTCGTAAACGGACTTTCGGCATGGTTTTTACTGGAGAGCTTCAGAAGCTCGTTTTCAAGCAGGTAGGGATGAGCAAATCGCAGTTACATCAGCGAGCGAAGCCAGAGAGAGAGGGCAATAGATATTAGATAACATGGTTGACAAGCCTCGGACATTGCCCCAAAAGACGGTAAATAACTTTTGAAAATACCCATCTCCAATTTTAGTGTTTTCTGGACTAAAATTTTGCGAGGAATCCGATGGTGCGGTTTCCAAGATCTGAAAAATTTCCATTTTGGAGATAGCACCTATTTTTTTGAAAAATAAATATTCGTCAGGCAAAATAGTCAAATAAATTGAAAATATAATGAGTTAATTTTTGTATAACAACACTAGAATGTGTCGAACATGAATTAGAGATATATTTTAGCTGAGATGATACTATATCTGCGCAAATGAACTAGTACATTAACCCTCATCGGCCGAGAAGGGGTGGGGCGGGTGCCGCCTCATAGGGTTTTTCGCGATAGCTCAAAACACGCCTAGGATAGACAGCTGAAACTTGGCATACCTAATCTTTTATTCAAGCTGGATCGTTTGACACCAACCGCGTTTTCAGGTCAGGTCAGGTCACTAGCCTATGACGTCATAAATGAGCCTCTACGAGGTCCTCAGATGTTGCAAATTTGCAACGCCCCCAGTGCCAGAGGAACTTTCATGCAGGAAGATGAAACTTACAGGGCGTAGTATCCTTCAGAAGTCTCACAACTTATACAAGCGGCATTAATGGGTGCACGCAAGCATGAGCTCGTCTCCTGATGGGTTGCGTTATTCGGATGACTGCGTACTCGCTAAGCTCACTATGACAGAATCAAGGACAGAATGAGTCCCAAGAAATCTCTAAAAGGTCCTGAAAACAAAATGACAAACAATTTTCTTTCACGTGAATATATTTTTTCGTGTTTGCTATATGTTTCGGTACCTCTAGGCTAAAAAACTTTTTGCCCTGTAAAAAAATCACTCAGTAGATTGAACCCAAAGTCAATTTTCTGAACTGTTCTGCATCGTGAATTTTGCCATGCATGGTTTGAATTATTGATGAGGTTCAGCACATCGTAATTCAAATTATTACCAGTAAAACGCCTTTTGGGCGAAGAACGAGCGAGCGAGATAGTGAGCCCTGCACGTGCGGGAGGGCGAGAGGGTACTTCCAACAGGCTTGCGCAAAGCACCCTTCTAACCGGTCGCTAGCGGTGTACCAAATTTGAACGCAATCGACCCAGCCGTTCCTGAGATCTGGAAGCGACATTCTGCACGTGCGCACGTGCAAACGGGGTCCAAACTGACTTTTGCACGGCACCCTACTAACTGGTCCCCAACCGTGTACCAAATTTGAGCGCAATCGGCCCAGCCGTTCTCGAGATCTGGAAGCGCCCCCTGCACGTGCGCACGTGCAGTAGCACCCTAACCGCAACACATGGGAATGCATTGCCTGGTGGGTGCCTACCTGTATGCCAAGTTTCAGCGAAACCGCCCCAGTAATTACCGAGTTATTAAAATGGGAACAAATTTGACACCTCTTATTGTTGTATTTTACACGTGCACTGGGGGTGACCCACATGCATCGAGAGTATCCTATTTTTGGTAGAAGGGATGCTGCTACCCTACAAAAATTACCGCAAGTCAATCGCCCAAGCGGCTGCTGAGATATGAGCCGCTCAAAATCACTACTTTTACAAAATAGCTTGAACACCCTTGACTTTTCACGTGGCACGTGCCATGACGGTCACTGCGTATCAAAAGTAGTCAATTACGGGGTAGAAGGGATGGGGCTACCCAACAAAAAAGACCGCAGGCCAATCGGTCCAGCGGTTGCTGAGATATAAGCCTCTCAAAAGCGTTACAGGCCGGGCCGGGCCGGGCCGCTCATAGTGAGATTTTTCCGTTATATTGAAAAGACTCGCTTCGCTCGCTAGCTCGTAGTAAATTTGAATTTGATTCAACACTGTTCCATCCAATATTCTTCATGGCTATATCACTTTGAAGATTCATTACCAAAGCCTTTTTGAGCCACAAATAGGACGAACTTTGGCTCGTTTCAAAAATAGAACCAGTAAAACGCCTTTTGGGCGAAGAACGAGCGAGCGAGATAGTGAGCCCTGCACGTGCGGAAGGGCGAGAGGGTGCTTCCAACGGGCTTGTGCAAAGCACCCTTCTAACCGGTCGCTAGCGGTGTGCCAAATTTGAACGCAATCGGCCCAGCCGTTCCTGAGATCTGGAAGCGGCATTCTGCACGTGCGCACGTGCAAACGGGGTCCAAAATGACTTTTGCACGGCACCCTACTAACTGGTCCCCAACCGTGTACCAGATTTGAGCGCAATCGGCCCAGCCGTTCTCGAGATCTGGAAACGCCCCCTGCACGTGTGCACGTGCAGTAGCACCCTAACTGCAACACATGGGAATGCATTGCCTGGTGGGTGCCTACCTGTATGCCAAGTTTCAGCGAAATCGCCCCAGTAATTACCGAGTTACTGAAATGGGAACAAATTTGGCACCTCTTATTGTTGTATTTTGCACGTGCACTGGGGGTGACCCACATACATCAAGAGTATCCTATTTTGGGTAGAAAGGATGCTGCTACCCTACAAAAATTACCGCAAGTCAATCGCCCAACGGCCCAAGCGGCTGCTGAGATATGAGCCTCTCAAAATCACTACTTTTGCAAAACAGCTTGAACACCCTTGACTTTTCACGTGGCACGTGCCACGACGGTCACTGAGATGTATCAAAAGTAGTCAATTACGGGGTAGAAGGGATGGGGCTACCCAACAAAAAAGACCGCAGGCCAATCGGTCCAGCGGTTGCTGAGATATAAGCCTCTCAAAAGCGTTACAGGCCGGGCCGGGCCGGGCCGGGCCGCTCATACTGAGATTTTTCCGTTATATTGAAAAGACTCACTTCGCTCGCTGCGCTCGCTCGCTCGTAATAAAAATAAAATTGCTTGAAAAATGCTACACCGAAAAAATCCACACAAATAGCCATAAACGTCTGCGTAGCTATCGAAGCTTGCGCGCAATGTCTGTAGCACATTGATTCACCATAACTTGAAGCGACTTGTAGTTCGCTACATTCCCACAAGGTGGCTTTGTGTTGCATATGACGTCACTACCATAAATTACGTCATCAGTTTAGAACAGTTTTTCATCATTTTCTGCAAAGTTCGGCCGTTAATGGCATGTAGCCACCCATTCTGGTATTATTGACAATTTTCAAGTGTTTTGGAACCATCCACTCCACTTTTTCAAGGAAAACATATCCCTTTAACACGTGCCCCCTCACGTCTCTTCTGTGTTCCGCGACACGGGTGGACACGGGTACCTAGGCCCCTACCTGTCTCGCCTACATATTGTTTTTCGCAAACAGCGCACGGTATCTGGTAAACTACCTATGCTACTGTCACGACTCACGATCCTTATCTTCGTCGCGTGCACCTTGTAGAATGTCGCCACTTTTGTGTCCTGAAACTTTTTGCTTTTTGCTGCAATTTTAGGGAAAGGTATTAACAAAAATAGCAGGAGGGCACTAGAGGCTGCACACATCAAGACCAAGAACACACTAAACACAAGAGGTGGATTTTATTCGATGGCAGTAGCGACAGCCAGATTATCCTTGCTATAACGTAAGCACGATTGTGGGGAACGAACGTGATCGAATGTAAAAAAATCGAAATGTCATTTCCATGAGTGATTTATTAATGCTGATCAAGGCCATCCAATGCTGATATTATTTTTAAAATGTGATTTGTGACTTTATGTATATTTTGTCTCAATTACTGACGAATGACGACGGCACATTGTTGTCGAAACGAGTACACTACAAAAAAATTTGATATTAATTATCATTTTGGTTTGCAATTATTGGCCATCAGATTTTATAAAAAACAAACACCTGGAATCTGCCAGGCCTCAACGGGGCGCGGGTTAATTTAATACATACACGCAAACAAATTGGAGTCTGGCCCGAAACTCTCCTTTTCCCACCAGAGCAAAGGCTAGCTTACCGCCAACGAAAAGTGGGAGGAACGGATGGAGAAAGAGGAGGAGAGAGGGGAGGGAGGGAGGGGAGGGAGGGAAGGGAGAGAGAGAAAGAGAAAGAGAAAGAGAAAAAGAGAAAAAGAGAGAGAGAGAGAGAGAGAGAGAGAGAGAGAGAGAGAGAGAGAGAGAGAGAGAGAGAGAGAGAGAGAGAGAGAGAGAGAGGACTTCGGTTAGCCATCAGGTGAGACGACGGAGCCAACACGGCGCTCAGGAGGTGAAATGGAGGTTAGATGGAGGTCACTGGGAGATCATTGGGAGGTGGGCTGGAGCTCAGTGGTAGGTCACTGGGAGATCATTGGGAGGTGGGCTGGAGCTCAGTGGTAGGTCACTGGGAGATCATTGGGAGGTGGGCTGGAGCTCAGTGGTAGGTCACTGGGAGATCATTGGGAGGCCGGCTGGAGCTCAGTGGTAGGTCACTGGGAGATCATTGGGAGGCGGGCTGGAGCTCAGTGGTAGGTCACTGGGAGATCATTGGGAGGTGGGTTGGAGCTCAGTGGTAGGTCACTGGGAGATCATTGGGAGGTGGGCTGGAGCTCAGTGGTAGGTCGCTGGGAGATCATTGGAAGGTGGGCTGGAGCTCAGTGGTAGGTCACTGGGAGATCATTGGGAGGCGGGCTGGAGCTCAGTGGTAGGTCACTGGGAGATCATTGGAAGGTGGGCTGGAGCTCAGTGGTAGGTCACTGGGAGATCATTGGGAGGTGGGCTGGAGCTCAGTGGTAGGTCACTGGGAGATCATTGGGAGGTGGGCTGGAGCTCAGTGGTAGGTCACTGGGAGATCATTGGGAGGCGGGCTGGAGCTCAGTGGTAGGTCACTGGGAGATCATTGGGAGGCGGGCTGGAGCTCAATGGTAGGTCACTGGGAGTCAGCTAATGGTCAATTCCTTACAGAAGCCGATCTGTGTGCGCTGGTCCCGGGAGAACGCCCGTCTAGGGAACATTTGATTGAACTCCGGACTGCGTCATGCCTGTCAACAGAGCACACAGAGCACAGGGTCAGAGCACACGGCTAGATCACATGACCAGAAAACACAGAGAACACAAAATACTCGGACAAAGCAAACAGAGCACACGGTCAGAGCACACAATCAGAGCACACGGTCAGAGCAAGCAGGCAGAGCACAAAGTCGGAGCACGCGGGCAGAGCACACATTCGCCATGGGTGTTACGACATAGGCAGGCGTACACACAGTCAGCTTTGTTAAGTTAATTGAAGGGATTATCAGGGTTTCAAAAATTTGAAATCAATATAAACTGTATAGGAGAGGGTGGGGTAAGACGCCCGGGTGGTGTAAGACGTCCTTTCGATATAACAAGAGAACTGTTCATATATACAGGGTGTCCCATTATCACATTATATTTGCATGTAAAAGAGAGTATATTACACTTTGATGTATTTATAGCCACTCAAAGTGCTCCCCATTCATGGGCAAACATATGAATACCGTACACGGGGGTGAGTTTGCCTCGCTGGGTGACTTTGGCACTTTTCTCGAAAATGCTTAAGGGTGCGTTAACTTCGGAGGTGGCTCCGCTCAGCGTTGGTGTCCGAGCACTACTACTCCGATTCTCAGCCAGTAGATGTCACCAGGGTAGAGCGCTTTTTTCCCACGTTAATGACCTTCTCCCCCTCCTCATTTCACGGCCCTTACGATAACGACGTTTGGTTACTGCGCCGGCGCGGCGGGCGGCGCCGACTGAGGGAGATCATGGTGTGTAAACACCGCGCGGAAGGAACACGTCTCTCGACAGGCCTTCCCGGCGCCGTCCTTAGCCTGGTGTAGCTAGAGCTACGTCTTACCCAGATAGAACGAAACTGATTATTTGATATGAATACATGTTATCGAATATTGAGTCTGCCGCAGCTCTAGTCACAAGAATGCGTCTGATATCCTCACATGATTGACCTGACGGCATTGTTTTAGTGAAATGCAGTGCTAGATTCGCATTGCTACACATACTACCAGTAAAACGCCTTATAGAACGACAAACGGAGCGAGCGAGAGGGTGGGCCTTGCACGTGGGAAATTGTGAGGGGTACCTCCAACTGACTTGTGCACGGTACCCTACTAACCGGTCTCTAGCAATGTGTCATATTTGAGCGCAATCGACCCAGCCGTTCTCGAGATCTAGAAGCGGCACCCTGCACGGGCGCACGTGCAAAATGGGCCCCAACTGACTTTTTCACGGCACCCTACTAACGGATCCCTAACCGTTAACCAAATCTGAGCGCAATCGGTCCAGCCGTTCTCGAGATCTGGAATCGACCCCTGCACGTGCGCACGTGCAGCAGCACCCCACATGAACTGTGAGACATGAAAATGCATTGCCTAGTGGGTGCCTACTGCCTACCTACATGCAAAGTTTCAGCGCAATCGGCCCAGGAACTACCGAGATATTGCAATTGTTACAAAAATGACTCCTCTTCGTTTTGCACGTGGCACGTGCATAGGGGGTCACCCACATGCATCGAAAGAAGGCAAATACTTGGTAGAAGGAATCAAGCTACCCTACAAAAATTACCGCAAGTAAATCGGCCCAGCGGTTGCTGAGTTTTTTTTCCTTTCAAAAGCGTTACAGCCCGGGCCGGGTCGGGCCGGGCCGCTCTTACTGAGATGTATCCGTTATATTGAAAAGACCAGACATGTGCATGGATCCGAGAAAAAGGATCTGGGATCTGATCCCACGGTTCCTGATCTCGGATCCGAAGGGATCATAGATCCAGCTCTGTAATTTATCGAGAGATACGTAGGGATCACAGATCCGAGTCTCATTTTTTGCTTGAGATCCAGTGAGATCATAGATCCTCACTTATTTTTTGTCAACACATATCCTCCCCCCCCCCAAAAAAAACACTTGTTTCAACTCACAAACGTTCTGTTTTAGTGATTTTATGTGATCGCACGTTATAGTCCATAGTTTTGTGTCACTTATTGGCATAGAAACTCTTCAAAACATGGTTTCAAATGTGGTGCATGGTGGGATCCACTCACTACTCAGATCATAGATCCATGTTCTATTTATCGTCAGATCATGTGAGATCATAGATCCAAGATGTATTTTTCACGCCGGATCCGGTGGGATCATAGATCCCAACCTGTATTTTGCTTCGAGATCCACAGAGATCATAGATCCATCACTCGGATCCATGCACATGTCTGGAAAAGACTTCGCTTGCTTCGCTCGCTCCGTAACAACAACGGGAAGTTCAGCATCTATTTTCTCAGGTATTGAAACGTTGAGTTGAGCATTGCTGATAAGATTATCAGGAGTATGAAAAATAACCTCTTGCTCATATCTGAAGGAATTAAAAAATTAAAGACCAATATATATTCGGGCGTGGCCCTTCCTCAGTGGTACACGTACAGTGTTACAATGGAACAAGAGAGACGTATGTGACGTATGGGCCACGCCCGTATATATATATATTGGTCTTTAATTTTTTAATTCCTTCAGATATCAGCAAGAGGTTATTTTTCATACTGCTGATAATCTATTTTCTCATTTGAAGGTAAGCCCCATGCGCACAATCTTATTTTAATGGAGCAGACTATGAGCTGGAAGATTCGTATTCCATTTCTCATCTATTTCTCATTTGAAAGCATGTCGTTTGAAGCTAAGCCCCATACGCATAACTTTATTATATCAAGTAGACTCTGGACTGGATAGGTACAAACTACAAATATTAAAAAAATATCAATTTTACCTATAGGTAAACGAGGCATTGGTATGCTTCCTTGCTTTTATAGCAAGCTGCATTTTATTGACTGCTAGCAACCATGTAATATGTTCCTTGGGAACTTCACAGAAATATCTATACCTACTTACCATCCACCTTTTTTCAAACGGCTGCTGCCTGCTATACTTATGGAAGGGATGATTATTTAACTTGCTTCTCCAGTGCCACTGCCAGTGCTCTACCTCCTCCCCCTCCCCTCCCGGACGCCATCCACTCCGTCCATTCCATAACTGACTACCTCCAACTGGTCAAGCAGAAAATGGATCCTATCGTCAATATTTGGAGTCGGCTTACGCCGCCCGTGACCTCAGTCACAGAGTGCACAACAGCATACAGTGTCCTAAATAGGTACCAGGGTTTCGGAGTTGGAATCGTCCGGGGTCGTGGCAACAACTGAGGAGTCAAAGTCGGAGTCGTCCAAACTCTATCGACGTCGACTCTGGAACATGTAGTACGTATGTATTCTATGTAGTCTAAGAGCATGATTTGCCCATGCAGTCGATGCAGTCGAAAAAAAAACATACAGGATGAGGCGACTAGCCCTGCCACACATCTAACAAGCTGAAACTTTTTTTGTCACTCATCCCATCATGGCAAAAAGGGGAAAAAGGGGTAAAAACTCACAACAGTGAATGATACTTCGATGTAGGTAACATATCATCATTGGCTCAGATGTCGACCACGCATCAGCTAAGGTAATTTCAGCAATCGTGTCAAAACTGAAGCATTCGCTCAGCATCATGCCGATCTCATTTTGTGCTCCTTGTTCTGTGTCAGTTTCGTGTCATGTACGAATGCAATACATACATGTATGTCAATGATACCATGGATGCAATATTAGGTAGGTATGTACCTGTTATACTGGTATGTTTTCATTGGCTTCGCCTCTGCACTGTGTCAGCAGAGCAGACGCCAAACTGGGGATTTATGTGTGATGCATCGCTGATGTACAACTACTGATGCACTGTTTTATTATTTTCCGTGAGTATTACAATACATAGTAGTACTGGTTGTTCCTTCTTGGTCTTGAGCTTCACCATGTGGTTGCTATATACCGATACCACATTATTTGCCGACGTGTTGTGAATTGTGATCGCTATACAAATGCAGCTACAGAGTTCAGAGTAGGTACTATGCGATTGTAATATTACTGACGTATAGACAGACTGGCCACAATCAAATTCATCACAGTTCACATGCAATACCTATTTTTATTTAGGGGAGAAGGTAAAGTATAGGCGCCAAGGTTGGTAGCTGGTAACCTGTGTATCGATATATACTACTTATATAAAATCCACTAATCTCATTCAATCCACCCACCATCCGTATTTTCTTCCGACAACCCCGAGTTCGCTTCTGTTCCGGCAGAGTTTCACGGCCACCGGCACACGCGGGAACCCCAGACCGTAAATCACCGTGTGTTGACAGTCCCTCCCCGCCGGTCGGCGCGACTCGCGGGTTTTATTACATGGGGGAACGGCAGGGACCGAGGCGGAGACCCATACGACATCTAGCGGCACTCCCTTGAACCAACAAAACCGTCAAAAAGTGGATATGAATCGGGCTTAATTCCAGTCACAGTTCAGATATTTCTGAAAAGTAAACTTCATTTTCGTGTGAAGAAATGTTCTGTGCACATTTCTATGTAGCCGGTTTTTTGTTTTATGCCTCACACAAAAAAAATGAAAGATGAGCAAAGTTTTACTTTCATTTTTTGCAACATTGCAAAAAGAAAATGGAAAATCGGAGTACATAGAATTGTTGTCCATTTTGAGGAGATGCGGGTGTCATTCATTTTTTGCGCCTAGTTTGAATGACATTTAATGAATTTCGGCTCAAACTTTTCAGTTTTTCCACCTTTATCGTGCAATATCAACGTGAATATTGCACGGAATCAAACAACTTGTCCAAAGTAGGCTTTGTATACCCATGGAGCAGGTACATGCCAAATTTGAGGCTAATATCTCTATCGGTTTTCAAGATATTGCGGTTTTTCACCTCCCATTGACTTAACATTAACATCGCACCCTTAATGGTGATCTCCCGTGATATTTTACGAAGAAAGTAATCATTTTTTTATGCGCATATGAAAGATAATTGATGGTCCTTCCAACAGGACCTCCTCTAACATGTGAACAGGGGGGGGGGTCCCCCCCAGTGATGCCGCTGCCCAGTGGCGTAGCCAGAGATCAGCGAAAGGGTGGTGCTCGAGGGGGCGACTTTTTCCCT